CCGCCGTCATTAGTGAGGCCGTCGATACCGGGGAGCCGGCCCCGTCCCGGCAGCCTCTGCGCCGCTGAGGGGCTGCGTGTGACCCTGCCCAAGGACAAGCCCCGGCGGGCACTGGGGGGCTGTGTCCCTATCCCCTCGCTTTGGGGGACCCACGGGGACCCCCTGTCCACAGGAGCATTCCCTCACGGGGCAGCCAGAGGAGGCGACTGCTGTCATCCTGCCCCATCCGTCACGTGGCTGTAGCCCCCCTGTGCTGGGCACAGCTGGGTGACAAAGGCAGGACCCCAGACCCACCCTGGGGTGGCCATTGGGACCTGGTTGGCCGTGTCCAGCCACGAGGGCACGTGGGGTCTCTCGGGGTGCTGGGGGCACATGTCTCCCTGTGCCGTGCCGGTGTTTCACCGCAGCGGGACGCACTGACCTTGGGAATGGCACTGGGGGCTCTGCTGTGGCCCAAACTTTGGGGGGCCAATGGGACAGGACGTGGGGCAGCCAGAGCCCTGAGTGCCACAGGGGGACAGGAGCACAGCCCCTGCCCCCCTGCCTGCCTGGACTGGGGGACCAGGGGCTCCAGCCCCATGGGTGCGGCAGCGGAGCAGCAGGGAATGTGGCAGGGGGGACGGCAGGGACACATGTGGCAGCAGCACGGTGCCGGGAGCCGGGGACGCGCATGCAGCGGCGGCTGATGTGATGCAACCCGACAGCGGAGCTAATGAAGGGCCATGGGCGGGGGGTGCCGGCCCAGCGGCCCCCAGCCCTGTCAATAAGCAGAGCCAGGGCAGGCGCTGATGGGCCCTGGGGCCGGGAGACACCAAGGTCGGGCACAGGCAGTGGGGACAGGAGGGGGGGGACAGGAGGCGGGGGACAGGGCCCCCCCAGCCAGGGAGGAGAGGGGGGTTCAGGGGTGTCCAGGTGGGGAGTAGGGCCAGAGAGCATCGCACCCAGCCCAGCCGGGCTCCTCTCCCCGCTGCTGCAGGGCTGTGCTGCGGCCAGGAGCACCGTGCCACAGGGGACAGGAACGTGTGGCTGATGCCACGTGGGACCCGTGCTGGGAGCGGGACACAAACGCCGTGTGGGACCCGGGCGGGGAGGGGGACACA